AGGGCTCTAAAGACCAAGTTCCAGATCTGACCCTGCCGTTGTTGTTCCTCCCGGGAAGGCGTTGTAAGGGCTCAGCTCATCTACTGTGTGCTCTGGGGCTGGGCTAAGTGCAAATCACACACCCCCTCTGACTCTGAAGTTTAGTTGTGTATCTTTGCCCTTTCTTGGTGAGTGATTGATTCAAGGGTTTTCATTATGACATCAGGCATGTCTGTGTTACAATAGTGTGACCTTTCCAAAGAGTCTGGTGTGTGAAATTTTGTACCTGCCTGATGGAGGTTGGAACACCTGTGCTTTCCCATGTTGCTGGCTGTCCTGCTATCTTCCCGAGTCAGTATGCCCCTCTCTGCTCCCAATGCCTTCCCCATCCCTGGGGATTTCTAACCTAGAACTCAGGTGTCTGAGGGAGAACCTCAGGGTCCTTCTCTGAAGACAGTCTGTGTTTTCAGCGGATGGCTTCTGTAACCTCCATGTTATTCAGTCAGAGGCTTTTTTCACTTAATTTCTGATTCTTGGCTTTTTGTAGAATAATTAAGGCCACAAGAGAAGTGACCTGTACATCCATGTGGTGGTTTTATATTCCGAGTACATGGTGGAAAATCATGTTGCTCAGGTTGTTCTGAAGTTGGATCACCTTTGCATTAGTGTCCTCAGTAGGAAGTTAGTGTGGGTCATATCCGGATAGAAACCACTGTGCACAACACGTAGGGGTGACAGTCTCTGGCTACTCAGCTCAGATAGTCAATATTTCTGCAGTGCAGTGTCTGTGCTACATGAGGAGTGACGCCTGAAGGCTGAAGACACTCTCATCTATTCAGTCTTGTTCTGCTTCCAGTGAGTTCAGGCTAGTTCAGGTTTCACTGCCAAGTGCATTAAATGAAAAGACTTTGGGATTCTGGGATTGTGAATAAAGGATTGTGGACCTTCTAAACCCATCCTGAACACATTTCGGAGAAGGCCTCAGAACAGAACTGTCCTTTGCCTTGGGGTGAGAGGTCCATTAGCAGGGTGAGATGAAACTTCTGCCCAGCAGTGCTCTTTGTTTGCCCTTCCTCTGCCCCTCGCTTCCTGCAAGGGCTGTAGGACTTTATTTGCCTCAGTTTTCCCATCTGCAGAAGAGGCATAATAATGGCACTGTTACATAATGAGGTTGAAAAAATTAAATGCTTCCAGCTTTTGAAATTTCCTGTCTTCTGTTCACTCCATGGACCACTTCCTTTTCCCATAGCCACAGCTGCTTCTAGCAGCCACTGCAAAGCTATCTCCCAGAGAAGTCACTATGGCTCTTGTGCCTGGTTACCTTTCATGGTTGCAGAAGTCATCCTCAAGGTCACTTTCTCACCATCCACACGTGCGCGTGCACCAGGCAGACATGGTCTCCAGCTGCCTATCATGCTCGTTTGTTTTTGTTAAAAATGATCGATTTCTCAAAGGTTCAGTTCTGTTTCTCCTAGATCCTAGACCATTGGCTGGCTTTTTAATTTGCATGGTGTTATTACATTATATACTTGTCAGGAGAGATTTCATTAAATTCCTATAATGTGGCCACTCTGCACATAATCCACATTAGAACAGCCAACCCTGGGGTTTCTCATAGGCCCCCAGTGCAATGAGTTCTTCATGACTTTTCAGCAAATTTAAATATGTGGGGGACATTGTAAAACTTCAGTATCCCATACATGTGCCCTTTGGGCTTGTGGCATTCTGGAACACCTAAGGAAGCAGTGCTCAAACAGTACCTCCCAAGCTTCAGTCGTCTGAGTGCCATCTAGGCATGTGTCGTTTATTTCTTTGTCCACCGAGGTAAAGGATGTGGGCTCCTGAGTCAGCCTGCCTGAGTTCAAATCTAGCTCTGCTGCTTCACAGCTCTGGGATATGGATGATGTCCTTAAGCTTTCTGTGCCTGAGTTTTCCCCTCTATGAAACGGGTAATATTACTACCGTTTAACAAGCTTGAGAGAATCAAACACGTGGGAAACGTGTAGCAGCATGCCTGGTGATTGCAGTGCTGTCTGCCACTGGAGGTGGAGATGCATGGTTCATGAGCGCGCGCCTGCTATCGCATGCCCAGATCTCCTGGGAGAGCCCTGCTTCTTGACTTCAGTTTTGTTCCAGCAGGATGGCTGCTGCTCGTCATAGTGCATAATGTACAGGACCCTCCACTCCCTGGGTCCTGCCTCTCTCTCTTCTCCTCGTCTCTTCTCATCTCACATCTAGCATTCAGGTTCTATCAGCTTGCAGCCGCCCAAACCTGACATGAAACATGTTATGTTTTATGGCTCTCTGCCTCCTCTCTGGAGCCTATCCCCACACACACTCCATGGCACGCTATATCTGACTAACACCTGCTCAGCTCCCAAGACAACCCAAGCATACACCATCACTGCAGAGCCTTCCCTGGCACCCATATACCACCCTTCCTAGAACCATCCACTCTCTTCTCTGGCCCCCCATTGTGTCCCCTACTGTGCAGGATTCTGTGCAAATCACTTGAAGAGAAAGAGAGAGAGAGAGAGAGAGAGAGAGAGATTTTGAGATTGAGATATACAAGGTTTGATCATGTCCTGTGTCACAAAGCCAGTCAGTCCCAAGGAGTACTAAAGAGGCCAGTAGTGCAGACTGTGTTTTCTGATAATGATTTAATAAAATTAAAAATTAATGAAACAAGATTGCAACCTCACCATTACCCCATCTCAAAACCTAGATGTTTGGAAATGTTTTATAACATATATATATATTATATATATATATAATATATTATATAAATATATATAATATATGCACATATATAATATTATGTGTATACACACATATGTGTATATATACAAAATATATATAATAGATATGGAAAAACTCTGATAGAAATCACAAAATATTTGGAATCAAATCACAGTAAGAACTACATATCAGAACTTGTGAAATGTAGCTCAAAGGATACTTGGATGAGAATCTGAAGACTGAAATGCGTATATTAAAAAGGAAGAATTAAAGTTAATGATCTATGTGTCCATCTCAAGAAATTAAAAAATGACACTAAACCCAAATAGATAAAAAAGATTCAAATAATATAGACGAGCAGTGTAGAGGTTGGCATTTATGTTAGGTTATTTTATTATGAAGAAAAGATCTGATAAAAATATGGAAAGATGTTAATAACTATATAATATTGTTGTCTGTTATGATATATTCTGTTTCTCTTTGCTTGAATTATGTTAAAATTAATGTGTAAAAACTAAAGGCCAGTAAAACAAACATTACCTTTGATTACTTTTTTAAAAGTCGGTGCCTACAATTTGAAACATATGCCTCAGTGGCTTTTTAATTGGGCTCCCAGATGAAAAGACATGAGACTTTCTGAGCCTGTCTTATTGCTTGGGTGATGCCACTCCTGGGCCGGCACACAGCTTCCTACACCTCCATGCATCTGTGCAGGAGGGTAGCTTTGTAACTCTTTGAGAAGTCCCCCAGGTCTCCAGCATGGACTAACATTCAGATCAGACCATCCCAAATGTACCACTGAATTCAGTGAGAAACTGCCCAGCTGTTTCTGCAAAATGCGGTCGCAAGCAAGTAGAAACTTGATTTTTGTTCAAATAGGTAAGAGAGAGACAGCAGTTATTAGATATCATTAGTGATGTGACTTCGAAATAAAAATTTACCACTGATAACTTTTTCCAGCCTCTGAATTACTTTAATGAGAGACTCTCCTGAGCTGGCAGGGCAGGTGTTAGTGGTTACAATAACTTCTAATCAGTGTCAATCATGACTCCTTGATACTACCATGTTTCCCTAAAAATAAGACAGGGTCTTATATTCATTTTTGCTCCAACAATCTACATTTATTCATTTATTCATTTACAAAAATCTACATTTATTCAAACAGTCATGTCCAGGTGATGATCTTAACTGGGGCTTATGTTTGGGGTAGGGCTTATGAGCATCCTGAAAAATCATGCTAGGGCTTGTTTTCCGGTTTGGTCTTATTTTCAGGGAAACACGGTAGGTATATAACTGAAATAAAATACAATGATGACTGAAGCCCTGGGCTAACAAAGGCTAAGACTGTCATCCTTAACTTGATTTCCAATTTTTGCTTCTCCCAATCAGGGGTGCCGCATTTTATAATGAAGTTCTAAGGAAACACAGCCACACCACTTCCTGTGAGTGTTGTCTGGCTGCTTGCACACAAAGCAGAGTTGAGGAGTTACAACAGAGAACTTATGGCTCACAAAGTCTAAAATACTGACTCTTTCAACTTTTACAGAAAAAGTGAGCCAACCCCTGCTCCAAACAGGCACATTGTTCTCTTTCACTGACTTGTAAATATTGTCGTAAACGTAAACTTACAAAATGCATGGATAATAAAATACTAGCTTTTTTTCTATTGGCACTCTTCACAAGATTTTATTCTAAAAGCGAACAAACAAGTTATCTGTTGCTACTAAAGCTTGAAAACTACTGTGTTACGGCATCATCTCAGGGAGATGTGACGCAGTTAGCAGCAAGATGAAATTAATTCTGTAGGTAAGCACTGTGAAAGTCAGTGTTAAAATCTTCAAGATCTGAAAATAACTATCAGGCTGCTAATATTGGGGGCATTTTTTTGGCTTAAAATTATCCTATTAATATTTGGTTTTTGTGACAAAATGTAACAAAAGCAGCCCTTCAATGAATTGCTTACACATGCTTTTGAAATCCATGGTTATTTTTAAAAGTACACATACATTGATTTCTTGACATGCTAGTTGGTGGGATGTTGTTCCTGTCTGCCTCATTTTCAAAATCACAATTTTTATACTTTCTAAAAGAAAATTAGCAACATTCCAGCACCCACAGTCTTATCGCCCCTGATTGGGCTAATGAGAGTCCTGAGTGCTCATTGGCCATCCACAGCATGACACCTCCTGCAAAGTTCACAGGCCCAGGACATAAGCCGCACTTCCTTATACTCCTCAGAATTGGAAGACATTCACGGATTGATTCCCTTTGTATCTTTGAAGGGTATTCCCCGAGTCCCTCCGGTGGTTAATGGCTACCCAGCAGTTTGAATCTGCAAAGAAGCTGATCCTCCACTTCACACAGAAGAACTGCATGAACCCTGAGACTGACATCAAAGGCGTGATGCCAGGTGAGTACAGCCCAGTGGCCAGCCCGGCCAGCCTTGGGAGAGGTGCCTCCTGTCCTGGACTGAGTCACCACAGAGCAGTTCCCTGATGCTGGCATCGGCTTTGTTTTACCAAGCAGCTGCCCTTGCTAGCTGTTTAATTTCCTGTGACAGTTGGTCTGCCGTGAGGCTAGAAACATGGGTGAATTGAAATTCTCTCCACCTTCTAGGTGAGGAATCTTTCCTGATCAAGTCTAACACACTATGGGGCCCCACATAACCTGTCCAAACCCAGACGTGAGACAGGGGCCCAACATGCACCTGAATGTCAAGGGAATATTTGGGAGGGGTAAAAAAGCCCATGTTTCACACACAGCCCTGCCTACCTGCCAGGTTTAAATGCTGGCAGAGTCCTGACTGGGGGTGCAGCTGGCTTTCACTACCTCTCTTTTCCCAAGTATGACCTTCAGAGAGCTGCCATTGTCTGTATCTGGCATGCCCTATTTGTGAGGCAACTGAAGAAGTAGAAAAGTGAAGTATTTTCGTATATGGGTTCAGATCCATGGAGTTTGTGTGTATGAGGAACATTGCACCACAAGCTAGATTGGAGCTTTCAGGCTGGCGATCCATAATATCCCCAGGAGGCTGTTAAAATCCTGACTCCGGGGCCTTCCCTGGCACCCAGAGATCCTGATCTGCTAAATTTGGAATAAGACCTAAGAACTTGCACTTTTAATTAGCACTAGAAGAGATTCTGACACACGAGATGCACAGACTTCCCTTGAAAGCCCCTGGCAGACCAGTCCCAAGTTCTGAACCACTGCCCCAACCTGAAGACCTGATATCAATGATACTATTGTTACAAATTTTCCAGGAAAGTAATCTGCAGGCCCTTGTCCCAGAGAGATAAGCACATTTCCCCCATGATCTGTAATTCTATCCCACAGATTTTACTAGATGCCCGCCATGTGGCAGACACTGTTCTAGAGCAGAGAAGAAAACAGGCAAAGCCTGGCTCTCATGGAGTTCACAGACAAGTGGGGAAAGGCAGACAATGAACAATTAAATGTATAATAGTCAAGAGAGAAGAGTGCTGTAAGAAAACTGCACAGCGTGGAGAGATAGAGGGTGGTGATGAGTGACCAAAGCCAGAGGGTTGGGGACCCTGGCTCCAAGGTGACAGGAGAGCAGACACCTGAACAAAATAGGAAAGAATGTGCCCTACAGGTCTCCATTCTCAACAAGGAAGGAACACGTGGAAAATCTGAATCTGAAAGGGCTTCTGGACTCACCTATTCCATGGTTACTAGACAGGCTGTCCATTAGACTCCTGATTCAGGAGATCTGGAGTTTGGTGTTAATGGAAGTTCCCCTAAATGCTGCTGCTGCTCAGCCAGGACAACATCCCTGCATTAGCCTATGCCCATGACCTGGTAGATGGGGATAGTAGGGCTAGGCCACCCCCACTGGTGGAGCAGGCATGGTCGACCGAGGACGTCACACAGGCCGAAGAGTTCAGGAAGCCTAGAGCCCTTGCTTGACTGGAATAAAGAAGGACGTGAGCTAGGCCTGCTTTATATGAAGAACATTGCGTGCTGGTGCTTTGCACAGGGCATCTGTGGTCCCTTTTTATCTAGTGACAGTGATCATAAATGGGAAGTTTACGTAGTGCTTATACGTCAGTCATTTTTCTAAGTGACTTGCAGGTAGTAACTTATATCTAATATTTAATCCTAAGTGCTTGACATATTTTTCTTCACAACTTGCTTCCTATGAGGGAGGTACTATAATTATTGGGTTATCGGAAAAGTCATGACGCATGTTTGGAAGTACTAGATTCATTCACATCTATGTGATTGCTATGTCATTTGACAGCTGACAGTTCTAGCTTCATTTAAAAAAAAATTGAGGGATTTGGTTGAGTTTTGGAGATTTTACAGCAAGTTGAAGATGGAAGACCAAACTGTGCATTTTTGCCATATTTTACTGTTTTACTTCCATAAAGGGAAGAACTCGCAACAAGCTTGTGAAAAGTTGCATAAAGTTTACGATGACAATGCCCTAAAAGAATGTCAGTGCCAATGATAGTTCACGAAATTCTGTGCTGGTGATTTTGATCTCAATGATGCTCCTCGGTCAGGGAGGCCCACCGAGGTTGATGACGACAAAATAAAGGCATTAATCAAGTCAAACCCACATTACATGACACAAGAGATTGCAGAAACATTGAACATCTATCATCCAAGCATTCATGATCACCTGAAGAAGCTGGGATAAGCAAGCAAGCTCGATATNCGGCCGGCCCAGGAACATTTTTCATTTATCCCAATTGTTACACATTCAAAGTTGCTCAATCTTTAAAAGGCTAGCTCCAAAGACATTTTAGGTACTGACTTCATTCTGCCCAGCCAAAGCCTAAAGCAGCAATAGAATATTCAGTTCATTGCCATGATCAGCATCTTTTTCACCTTCCAGAAGGAGGCAACAATAACCACTAGCCCCTTGAAATATGTAAATCTCGATTGGAATTGACTGAGGCCTTGGTATCATTCTACCATTCCAACCCCACTATACCACCACCCATTCTACAGATGTGGGGAAACTGAGGCCTAGAGGGTTAGGTGACTTCCCCAAGGTCACAAATCTGGTCTATAAACCCAAGACTCCTGATACATTCCCTCTGTAATTTTTCTATAATGGAAGTATGGAGCTTACATATATATCATTTTAATAAACAATGGAGACACAAAGTTCTGAGTTTATGTGACAGATAAATCAATGGGATGGCCATTTAAACTATGAAAGAATTCTTTGTTTCATAGAGCTTTGTAAAGAAGAGTTCATTTGCCTTAGGAAAACTTTGAGGTTTAACCATTCTAAGAGCCAACTTTTATTTGGTTTCATGATACCCATACCTTTTCCCTAAATTACTAAGTTTAACCCAAATTATGAACTTGACTTTTTTTAAAGAGCTAATTCATACCCATTTGCTATCTCCTGAACTGAACCTACTTACCTTATTTTTTATATATACCAAACAGAACTAAAGTTTTAAAAAAGACCTAAGTGAAAGTTTGCCTAGTGGAACTAAGACTATATTTTTGTAAGAGCTTTGAAACAAAAACTTAAGATATTCTCCCAACTGGTATTTAATTCAATTCTAGACTTTGATTTAGTTTTTTTTATTATTATTTGGAGAATCTTTTCAGAATTTCCTATCACTGTGATTCTTGATAGAACCCCAAAGTGTCAACAGCTAGAAACACCTCTTTAAATCAGAAGCACCCTTCATGCAGCCTAAGGCTTTTTTCATATACTCATACACACATGTTCAGGGAAACTTCATCTCTACAAAGCCTTTCATGATTCTTCTACCCCATCCGCACTCTGTCCTTCACTCTGCATTGGGTAACCTATTTGATAGAAGCTCTTACCCTGTAAGGCATTTATGAATCTACATATTTTTCTCTACTAGGTTGAGCATTCTCAATACCCATTTACTTCATGAGTGATGTAATGTTGCATCACAACATGAAGGCTTACCTGTCTACAACGCGTATCACCCTAAAACTAAATATAAATACTTCAGAAAAGCAAACGACTTGAAGATCAAAATAACAGAGTGTTAGCAGTTAATCTTATTTCCTTTCTATATTTTTTTATGAATAAATGTTCTCATGTAATTTAAAGAGGATAGACATGCTTTTAATGTAGAGAATTGCCAAGCTGGCATTTTATCAGAGCACGTGTTAAATGAATTAGCCTAGATAGTATACTTGTCTGTGTCAGCTCTACAATTGGGTAGAAGGAATACTTGGTTTTATTCTTAAATGTCAAAGAAAAAAATATCAACTTCATAATATTATGAAAGTTTTAATTACTGATTCTACTGAGTTACAGGTTATGGGGACAAGATGTAAACCAGATCCATGAATGTAAATCAGATGGGCTTGAGACTTAGCCAAATAATAGAAAAAAGCAGGAGCACAGACCA